AAGTGAGAGTTGCTTCTGGCACTTGCTTATGGCCTTTTACTTTCGAAAAAGTGAGAGTTGCTTCTGGCACTTGCTTATGGCCTTTTACATTCAAAAAAGTGAGAGTCGCTTCTGGCACTTGCTTATGGCCTTTTTATAGACAGCAGCTCAACTGCTTCAAGAAAACTTGCGAGACAATATGAAGAATAAATTGAAAACGAGAAATATATACAACAACGATAATACAAACTACAGGAAGTTTAAAGTTTTGAGTTTAAATACTCTCGTCTTTGTTCCCACAAAGGGACTTTTCATGCTCCTCCCCGGGACACGACAGCCTGACGTCAGCATCATTTGCTGTGAAGGAGATCTCAATCACCGAAATTGCCTCCGTCAGCTGCACCATGACCACGGGGCCGTCCAACCCTGACACATAGTCCCTCAGCTTGGGCAGCAGTAATCCCTGACAGATGATCCCCCGAAGTGGTACCGAAATCCAACCGAATTGGTCGGTCCGAACGGCAACATTGTGGACGCTACAGTGACCCGCCGTATCAGCCAGACTCGCCACCACCAACAGTTGACTCACTGGGGACATTCGCCACTTTAGAACGGGTATATATGGAATGTCAATTACTCGGATGAACATTCTGGGATTAAATTAGTAGTCAGTGATTCAACTCAAATTGACTGCAATACGGAATACAACTTGAGCGTGAGCCAAATTAAGTGCAGTGACAAGATAAATAAGGCAAAAGTCAACAATTTGTCGACCTCATGATGAACAATTGCTGAGTCCGTATCATACCCATGGAATGTATTTGAGCTGACTTACAACAATGAGAAAGATACAGAGTGACCCGAATGGAACAAGTGACTAAGCTTATTTGTGTTAAATAAACCAACACAACCTGAATACGAACTCAATGATTGGAAGTAAATGCCACCGAAATATCAAAATCACCAAACTTGGCTAAACAACAAACATCCTGTTTATACCGTAGAAATAAATACCACAACGCCCACCCAACGACACGAAGCCACAGTTTTTAACCAGGAACATTACTCTAGACCACGAAGGGACAATGCTACTATTGCTTCTCGTCCTACAAATAGGCCGTATTTTGGCATCCTACGACGATGTTCTTTCATCTGGGATAATCTTCCACAAAGAAAGTAAGATCATCCTGGCAGAAAAGTTTGTAAATGTCCAGTTCCTAATTCCTTTCCCAAAGTACAATTTCACGATGAAGACAGCAATGAGGAATTACCTCAACAAACTTTCGGAGAAATGGCGAACACCCTCTATAGAGTGCCCTCTGGATTTTTCCACGAACTTCAATTCAACTACAGACCCATTCAACCTTGACTGGCTCCTGGACATGATCGAGGAAAAAGCTGCAGCAGCAAAGCAAAAAGCCCAAGCCATTAGGACTCAACACGTACCCGCAGGGGAGCTCCACTAATTGCGGCAGCGGCCATCGCCGGAATTGGTCTGTTTGGCTCTGGTATAATGATGGGAAATTCTGGAGGATGTGGACTTATGGGGATTTTCGGATCGTGCCAGGACCAGGCTCAAGCAAATGCCAAAAACATCGAGAGCTTGGAACAATACTTAATGGCACTTACGGACTATGTGTCAGAAATCGAAACATCGAGCAACGAAAAGTTCTTTGCGATTTCGAATGAATTGTCTGAAATCCGAGCAATTCAACAACAAACCATCGAAAATCAAAACCGAAATTGGAAAATACTTGAAGAACAATTTGCAACAATTCAAGGCAATTTCCATATCTTGCGGGACTGCACACAAACATTGTTCTCGAACCAACAGATAAATTTCAACTTCGACACAGCAGCATCACTACTAAACGTTGTCTACGCAGATATAACAAGCTATAAAGCCGCACTTTATGCCTTTAAGACAAACGTCTTAAACTCCATACCGACTCTGCTGGACCAAAGACTACCGATGTCTCTTGTTCCGCGAGAATCCTTGTTGGCGGTCATAGACGCAGTATACAAAAGCCAAAAGGAGGAGAATCACCGATTGACACTTGCGATACCACCAAGCGATATCGACTCATACTATGACGCGAAACTGCTTCGCGATGTCACAACTATTGAGGAAGGACTTCTGCTCAACTTGGCAATACCGTACGCATCGAGTCAAACAGCCTTCCAGATCTACCGGGCCCATGTGATACCTATGCCACAAGGTGACCCAACCGAAGCCATCAAATGGGTTACTGAAGGATCATATCTGGAAATCTCAGAAGACTCTATGGAAACAACAGTTCTGACAGAAAAACAGTACGCCAATTGTTTGGGAAGCTCAACATACCGGATCTGCCATCAAACAATGGAGACACATCTTGGCCAGTCGTCATGCCTAGCCACACTATATTTCCACTCAATCGTGACGGCATTGCAAGTGTGCGAAACGGAAAAGATACTTATCCCTACGCTGGAGAAAGCTACGAATTTGGGCTACGGGATTTGGCTCATCACATCAGCCAGTGCGTCATTTTCCCTACGAGAGTACAGCCTTGAAGAGCTGAACACCCCCAAACGGGAAGATCATGCAGGCTGTAATATTTGTCTGATAACATTAGACTGTGGGACTCAGTTGATCAGCAAATACATAAAAATTAGGCCGGACCTCGCTAGCTGTGACAAAATTCCAGCAAAACGGATTACCGTGAACTTGTCGGACCCCTTGTCGCATCTTCTTTCAGAATTGCCAGACTTAACAGAACTCCCGTATTATGAATCAAAAACGGATGCCGGAGTTAAGTTACTGCGGGAAGTAAAAGCGAAACTGATAGACTGCCCTCACCTGACTAAAACAGACGAGCTAAATGACATCGCAAAGCCGATCGCCCACCACATGAGATTGCTGAAACCCACCCTAGTGGATAAAATGGAACAGTATGTAAAATTACGGCTTTCCCTTACATTGACAGCAATAGTCTTTTTGAGGAATCTTGTCTTGCATGCACTCATCATGTACCTCTACCACCGGTTTGCCATCTTCAGAAGATTGACTTCGAAGTTTCTGAAAGGGCAGGATGGAACCATCGCACTTCGACCGGTGCTCTCAGTAGCAGCATCTGACAGGAAGGCCTTCCAAAAGGATGGGTCCAAGCTTCGTGAGAAATATATGGTACTAACACAAGCAGAACTGAATGCCTATCAAACGCCAACCAACCGATCAAGACTAACCTCAGCCTGCTCCTCAATGGGGAACATCAGCAGAACACAAGAATCACAGGTTGTCTTGAACGAAACGAGCTTTAACGTAAAAGAAAGAGAGGAGAGCTTAAGCCAAATTTGACCAGTTACTGGCATTCATTGAACTCATATTTATAAATCACCCATAAGACTGACTACGTGGCCAAAATAACTTTGAAATCGCATTGTCTCATTCACCAGGTACGTACTACTCATTAGCTCCACTATCGTGCTCCCTTCAGTCATATTTATCAATATGGACTGTAGAGTGTATAAATAAATCTTTGCATGCCACAATAGTCGTTTAAATGAGGCGCGGCGGGAAGCTTTCCACCAGAAAGTTTCCAAGTTTACGTTGCGGTGGGAAAAAATTAAGTAGGTCGGGAAGATTGTTTTACGCAACCGGGAAGTTTATTTGACCTTGTAAGAGGTTCAAGAGGTCACGTTGAGCCATCGAGGTGGCTATCACCGACTGAAGCAAGAAGTCCGTGCCGGGTATTACGAGGAGTACCTGCGTCAACACTGTCGGGCCCTATGCATTGACTGCGAAGGCTGTTTCGAGAAGCGCAAGACGATAGTTAACGATGGCTGCTTCTGACATGTGTTTCTCTTTTCACTCCACTCTCCTCCACTTTTCGATTTGCTCGCTCTTGTCTTGTTGGGTCTCAGACAGCATTTGTGCCTTCATTCTTTCAATTGTTGTTTGAATTGTTGTCCTATTCACTTCATTTACCTTTTCCTTGGTTGGCCAGAATGATGCCTTTAATGCCAGGAATGATGTCTTCAAAGGATTTAGAGAAAGTTTCTTCGATTTTTTGCTGATATGTTCATTTTTTAATTGAGTGTTCATTTTTAATTTCAGGACATGGGCTCAACTTATAATGTTTTTTTTTTCTTGGCGTCGGTTTCGGCAATTGGAGTTTGGTCGGTGATCCGAGTCGGAAATAGGTTCGGAATTTTTCGGGTAAAATTTAGTACCATCATTTTCCATTCCAACTCTTTAATTATTTTATCAAAACAATAAGGCCAATCACATTAATTAATTAGTTTTATCGCAACAATTATGATTTTTTCATGAGAATGGTGATTTAAATTTAGAGGAGGGTTTTCCATAATTAATTTTTCGAGTAAAGGGTTCACACTGAATTTAGATCGGCTAAGTTTGCCCATAGCATAAATTGAAACATTTCTTTTTGAAGTGTTTTCAGGAGGTATTACAGTTAGAATGTTCTGGAAATTGGCAGTGTTTACGGACGCTTGGTATTTCAGGATAAATTTTCCGTAGCGACCACTCGAGAAAGTTGAAAAGAACATTGGCCTAGGGTGGACATTGAGTGCCCAAACGAAAGCTTAAAAACACCGTTCAGTTACGATTTTAAATACAAAATGTTGCTCCTGCAATCTTAAAGAGTTTTCAAACTTGAAGCATTTTTGAAAACATTTGAAAAGAAATTGAAATGATTTTCTTGAAAGTTTCATCAGTTTTCTGTCGAAAACTACTTGATAGACGTTAAAGGGCAGTTGAAGCACTCAGAACTTCGCCCTTTAATGAGCAGTCTTGTTGATACTTGTATTCGTTAATCGCACCGTTCTGATGGAAAGCCTTTTACTATCTTTTTTCGTTGAACTCAAATAACATGTTATGCATTTGATTACAGCCAAGATGGTTGGGACTGAATGTAAACTTGTCGGCTGATTGTTGGTGTTTAATTGTTGCAAATGCATGGCGAAGCATAGATGGAATTGCATGTAGTATTGTGTGTATTTGGAATGAGTTTGTTGTCCAGGTGTTCCGAACGAGAGGGTGTCTGTGGCTGATGTGAAGTGGGCCAGGACACTGTATGCGTCTGCATTCCACCCGGACACTGGACAGGTGAATCCGTTGATTGGCAGGATGAGTTTCCAGATACCTGGCAACACCATAGTCACAGCACTCATGCTCACCGTATGCACACTCTCTCTCTCTCAATCAATTACCCCAAAACTCCACTCACCACTCATATTTGGTTGCTTGATTCATTTTCACTATAAGTCTTGATTATCTGTCTATATTCTGTACTTTACTCAAATTATACGTTAGAGATTATTTGTTGAGAGTTTGTATTTTTTCAGGGTTTCAATAGTTTTTCCCCAGTGTCAGAATTTTTTCAGTTCTAGTACGATTTACACCAAAACGGTTTAATATCCTGTGCCTGTTGGAGCTTTGTGTGTGTGTGTGTGTGAGTGAGAGTGAGAGAGTGTTTATTTTGTGTTGCAGTTCTACCGCTCTCCCCTGCAACAGGTGTCCATGCAGTTCATCAACCAGTCCTTCATGGCATTCTGCAACTACACCAACAGAAACGCCCAAGCCCCACTCTCCAATCAACAGGTGAGACACACACACACACTCATACACAGACTAAAAGCACACACACACACAGCCACAGTTCACACATATGTCCGATTGTTGGTAAAACTGACGAGAGAACTAATTATGACAACAAGAGAGAGAAAGAAAGAAAGAAAGAAAGAAAGAAAGAGCAAATGAACCCGAATGGCGTAAGATACGTTTACCCTTGCTATAAGCAAAGGTATTGCAATCGGGTGCTAGACTTTTTCCTGTAAATGACTTTGTTCACATGGGCGTTTCGGTTGAAACAGAAATACTTTGAGCATTTTAGCATTTTAACCATTTTAATTATCCCGTCTAATCGCAGTATGTTGGTTATAATTTTACATTTCGGTTTGTTGATTTTTAAGAGCAATGAATGTAGTTGAGACTCATATAGGTCTTGGTGATTTTGTTTGTTTTTGTTTCAGGAAAAAGTCTTGAAATGCTCTAATAAATACAGATATGCATTCATACTTATTAATGCATTTATGAATGCACTTAAGTATATTTGCACTTTTTGACTTCAATTAAAATTTATCTGCTGGGAGCATTCTCCAAATACGAACGTGGAAATGGCGCGAAAAAATGAACGATTTCTAATTTCGAATTTGGAATTTTATTTTCAGATTTCCAGTGGAATAAAAACTTTTCCTATTGATCCAGTTTTCTCAAGTTGGGTTAAAGATATCAGAAAAGTGCCAATCATAAATCTTTCTGCAAATTCAAAGAGCTTAAAATGCATCTTTTTTTCTTTGAAATTCGAAAGTTGAGATTTTTTCAACAAAGGCAGTGTTTTTTTTTCTGTTTAATTGCGTTTAACTGTTTGAAAAACCTAGCATTCTGACAGTTGGAAAAGAGTAATGAACGCTACTAAACAGAAAAAAACACTGAAAAAAATCTCAAACTGTTAGAATACTATGTTTTTTTTCCTTTTTTTTCAGTTTCTCCTTCTTTTTCGGCTTAATAGGTTTCGGCTTATGTTGTATCGTATTAGTGGACTCTTAGTGCGTCCTTTTTTCACAAAAAAAATTGTGTGCGTGTGTGTGTGCGTGTGTTCTGAGGAAAAGGGGTACTTCAATTTTTTTTCATTGTTGTAGAGTTTCTGCTTAGGTATTTTCAGCTGTGTTACCGCTTGTTAATTGTAACTCAATCAATCATCTCTCGTAGCTGCTTGAGGAGACGGCAAAGGCTTGTGGTTGAAATCCGGCCTGTACCTGTTTTTTTTTGCAAACTCAAGTTTTTGTGTTTTTTGAACCTTTTTCCGTCTGTTCATTTTTGAAGGTTCAGCTTTCTTCCAAGTTTTTGTAACACCCATGCTTGCGACGACAAATCTCGGAAATTCGATTCCAGTTTTTACCTGTTTTTCGCAAACTGAAAGTTTTTGGCTAGCTCAGATTATTGTCTGTCTGCTTATTTCTGTCGGCTTAGTTCCACAGAAAGGACCTTTTAGGAGAGTTCGGCCTTTTTCTAACCTTCCGGAGCTCCTTGTAAAGTTTCAATTGGTGGTGGAGGTATTGTTGTTTTGGATATTTCTGGTTTCTGTTGCAATTTTTATTTTATTTTTGACAAAATTGATTTTGAATTTTTTTTTCATGTTAGAATTTTGAAACTCCACCAGATAACCAATCTGAACAGTGTGTAGCTGCTGTATTTTCTCGTTTTTTTTGTTTTTTCTTTTTCTTCTGCTTTCCTTTCTTCCTTCATTCCCCAAAACTTTGCTCAAATGTGTTTTTATACAATTCGTTGAGTAATTGTTAATTTAATTTGTTAATTTAACTTTCCTAAATACTTTACATAACAACTTCATTAGTTCTTAGATATGCAGGATTTTAATTTTTGTCTCGCATCTTTGATGCTCTCTTGATTTTAATACAAATAATTTTTTACGATCTATTTTTGTTTAGCTTATTTGACTCTTATTTTTCTTATTCTAATGTGTCTTCTGTGCTGCTGCTACACTAGGTGTTGTTGGGCTACTTGAGTGCCACGGGCACTGCAGTGGGAGTTTCCTTCCAGCTGAGCAGAGTGGCAGCCAAGGCCACCAACCCCCTCATGGCCAAACTGGGTGAGAGAAAGAGAGAGAATACAGTGCTCATGTAAATTATCTGCACAAAACGAAGTAAACTTGCAAATTACAAAAAGTTTTTTTTTGCAATTGGTTTGTCCTTAGACAGAAAATTATAAACACCCGCGGAATTTGATTTGAATTTTAGCAGAATCAATGTGGCAATTTTATTTTGCAAAATTTGTGCCTTAAATCTTACCTCAAATACAGGCCATTGTTTTTATTCAATCAAGCATAATGCGAAAATTATTGACTCAATTGCTAATAAAACTGTATCAAAGTGAGCCTATTTTTTTTAGCTCAACAAAGTTTAGAAGGGTTTAATCTCCAAAATTTTTCCAAAAAAATAAAAGTTGATTTTAAATTACAAAAATTGGTGAATGATGGTTTTGGCTACCAAACCAAAATAAAATAATTTATAGAAAATTGTGAAGGTTGTCCTTTTTGAACTGTTACGGACTAAAAAGTCGAAAATATTCCGTTTTGTTGGTACAATTTTCGGCCCGAATTCTGTCAACCAAATTGTGCCATGTTAACTCCGCTAAAAATCGAAGTAAGTTTTGTATGCATCGTTTTTTGTCCTAAGAGAGTCCAATTTGAGAAAAACACGTTTTAATTTTCAGTTTCTGTTCGTTTTGTCCGGATAATTTAAATCGGCTTTTTCCCATTATAGCCCCACCAGCCTAGAAGCCAAAGTTTAAACCCCTCTCCAGTCTCACAATCTGGCAATTTGCTAGCACTGACCTGAAAACAATCTATATGCTTTCAATCAGGAGTGCTTTCATGCAAAAGTGCCTTCATGTTTTTTTTGAATACTGAACTAAGCGATGCATGCATATTTATTTACTGGGGGTGAAGGCAATAATGACCCTTTGAATCGGCACGTTTTTATCGTTTGTGTTTGCCAAGTACAGCTTTGCATCTGTGTATTAAATTGCGATGATTAATACTTTTTTGGGCCTTTTCTGGGGGCAGTGTGTACTTTTAAAGAGGTCTCTGACTGATTACTAATGAAGGTGCTACTTTGTCAAAAAGATATATGAGCGTATAAGAGTCAATTTCCGAAGACATTTACGAAAAACAGTAGAATTTTTGTATCAATAATCTAGTTTTTTTGTTCCGACGTTTTTTTTCAGTCAATTTTTGCTGATCGAAATGATAGTTTTTTAGACAAAAGTTTTTTCAGACTCCATTGAAGATATCAACTTCCCGAGTTGAAATCTAAGAAGATATTTCTTCTCCGATAATTTTTTGGAAAGTTCTTGGGGTTTGAAAATTGCCAAGTTGGCCATGTTCTGGACTAAATTATGCGCGCTTCGAAGAGTTTATTCATATTGCTGATATCGTAATGCTAGAAATTTTTGCGTGGCGAATTATCCCGCACAGCATAATCGTTCCAAATTGAATTGAGGCTAGCTAATGACATCGGTTGTATTTACGATTCAACATTTCACACTTTGATATTGTCCAAAATTTACAGGTTTTCAAAATTTTCGTTTCCCGAAATTTGTTCCATATGAATTAAGGGATAGTCGGAACATTCAGGGCTTTGCCCTGATAAACGAGCAATCTTGTTCAATCTAATCCTGCAATCTATAGTTCGCTGCTACACGGTACGTGTAAAAATGGTTTATGTGTCTAACTTATTGTTCCGACTTTCGAAGAAAAAGGCAGAATATATGTGCTCGGGGTGGTTGTCTTTTCTCCTGACAAATTTCGACTTTTTAACTAGCCATTTTTGACGGAATTTTTAAACCATCCGAAAAGTATTGTTGTCTTATGAAATCTAAAAAGATATTTTTACCTGTGTTCACTTTTCGTAAAGTGTTGAGGGTTGAAAGATAGCCAATTTGGGACAATTAAAGCGCGATATATATCGAGCTATTAACTCGTAATATGATATTTAATCCGTTAGAAATCATTCCAAATTGGATTGAGACATTCTATTTGGACTATTTAATACTTTGCTATAGGCGAAGTATACTTCATGCCCTTTTCATAGGGTGTGGGGGTTGATTTTCAAAAAATAATTGTGAAAGTTTTTGCTCTGTTGTTTCAAAGCATCATTTCATTTTTCTAAAGCAAGCACTACTCCATAGAACTTGAAAGGCAGTTGGAAAATCCAGGGCTTTGCCCTGATACGGGCAGTCTTGTGTCCTTTAATCTCAAAACAATTGTCGTTATATGTGTTCCTCTCTGCTGGCAGTTCCCTTCGTGGCGGTGTGTGCTGGCAACATGGTCAATGTGCCTCTGATGCGCCAGCAGGACTTCCTGGAGGGCATCCCAGTCAATGACTCGCCCCTGGAGCAGGGGGGTGGCAGCAACAGACTGGGCCAGTCAAGACAGCTGGGGGTTATGTGTCTGGCCCAAGTGGTGGCCACTCGCATCTCTGCAGCCATACCCATCATGGTCCTCCCCCCTCTAGTCATGAACTATCTCAATAAGTCTGCAGAGAGGAGAAACATACAGGTACCTTTTAGTTCCTCTTTGCTTTCAAACTGCAGAAAGCAACTTCAATTGTGGAGTGGTTGATTTGATTTTTACACAGAAACATGAAACATGATTTTTATTTCACGGATGATTCTGCTAAGTTGTTGCGCATCGATAAATTTTGCGCGGAACTTTTATTTCAAAATAATGGGGGTGGGCGGACGGACGCTCTTCTTCAGGGATTCAACCCCCTGCCGACCCACAGGGTCCCCCCTTTGTACTATTTTCAGATCTGTACTAGTTTTTAGGGAGAAGCGCGCCAAAAAAAACGCGATTTTTTGGTCGAAATTTTCCAAAAAGTGCCTAAAAACGTCTTTTTTGGCCTTTAAAAAAATCGCTTGCGGCGCAGAAAAATTGGTCAAATTAGGGTCTTTACAGCGTTTGGGGAGAGCTCAGAACATCAATTTGGCCGACCTAAAAAAGTTCGACAAAATTTTCAAAATTTTTTTGAAAATCCCCCCCCCCCCCCTCGAGAAATTTCTTGATCCGCGCCTGGTAGTGAGTACTCTTATACAGGTCTTGCTGATTTTTTTTTCGTGAAAAAGTCTTAAATTTTGTTCATGCTCAATTTTGATTTTTCGCGGTTTGACTTTTGATTTCTTTTTCAGTTCAGAGCATTTGTATTGTTAAAAGGGCTCTTTTTCCTTTCCCCCCCACCCCACCAGCGAAATTTTAATAGTAAAATTTTGTTCACATCATCGGATTGTTACAAAAATTGGTATGCGGACTAATTAGGCTATGACAAACAAACATATTTGGTCTTCATACTTAACCTTGTAAAACTCCTCGTTACAACATAAAATTGATGTATATGTGAGGTGGGGGGGGGGGGGGGGGGGGAAGGAAAAAGAGCCGTTAAAAGTCAAACTCCACTATCGAACAGCAAAAGTGTAAAGTTCACGAAAAACTATTTTGACTTCTAATTTCGAAAACTGAAAATTAATTATTAGATTCCCCAGCGAAATAAAAGATTTACGTATTGATCCAGTTTTCTCAAATTGGGTTAATTTTAACAAAAAAGTATGAAAACTGAAATGAGATTGGTCGGTCCTGATTGGATAAAACCAGTGTTTGAACACTTATAAGAAATAGGGCAATGTATTTTTATATGGAAAAAATAATACAGTGAGATCATAATGGCCAGATTTGTAGGATAAATTAAACTATTATTCCTAGCCAAGAATTGACCGTTCTTTCTTGTGATATCAGTCTTTTTTCATTGAGTACTGCAGGAGAGTGATAATACATGCGATTCAAGTCTTATGCAAAGTAAAATTTTGTGCGAAAACATAGTGGGGCAATACAAAATCTATCTAAATGGTTCGGTCGATTGCTGTAGTTCAGCTGGGTTTTTGATATATTTCAAGTAATACGATTGTACGTTTTTAGGTGCACAAGAAGTCGTTCGGCCGACCACTTTGGGTCCTGTTTGAGGCGTCTCTGATTGGAGTGTGCACGTACATGGTACTGCCTCTGGCTGTAGCCCTATTCCCCCAACACAGTTCAATCTCAATAGACAAGTTGGAGAGGCCACTTCACAGACAGATAAAAGAGACACATCCTAATGTGCAAGTGGTCTACTACAACAAGGGACTCTGATTATCATTATCTTTGTTCACTTCCTTTTCTGTTATACTCCCCGAATTTGAGGTTTTAGTTGCTTCCCAAACTGTTGTATCAAAGTGCTTGCGTGAGTCTGATTATTTCTTGGCTGTTTAAAACTAAAGGAAAGTTTGAATTTTGGCTTTAATAAATCAAAAACACCTTTCATGATTATGATTTTGTGTCAATAAAAGTATGGGTGGTCATGGAGACTGGTTGGTTGAATGTGTACTGAATGATAATTATTTGTACATTTTGTTACTGTTGATATTAGGGAAATTGGAATAAAATATGGAGATGATAACTTTGGTGAGAGTGGTACCATGATAATTTGAGCAAGAAAACCTTTAAAACAAGAGCCGAAAGATGGAAGTAGTTGAACTATAGGGGGTGAGAAGGGTGAAAAAAAAATAAATTTAAAAAATGATTATCGTTAATTGAATTTTTTTATGGTGTATTGACATGCTGCGATGGTACATTTTGTATGACGCGCGCCTGTAGGACCGGGCCTGAGATTCGTATCCCGCTCCTCTGCCCGTTTTCTGCGTTTACTTCTTCATTTTTATTTTTGTTCTGACCACTGAACAAATATTTTTATAGACTTTGAGAGTCGTGATTCATTTCCTATATAGACTTTCCGCAGTTCAGATAAAATCTGGTTTAATTTTTTGTTCCAACTATCGAAACTTTGTATTCGGTTGTTTTAGTTTTTCTTTTTTTTTTGTTTCAACGCAAAATTAGCTGGCACAAATAATCATCAGAAAGTTTCGAGTTATGTATTATGTTAGAGCGCTTTTAGCCGTGAGTCGAACGACATTAAAAAGTTTTCAAAAAGTTGTGCAAGTGTTGAAAAAAGATAATTTGAGATTTTTGAGATTAAGTCTAATTTCTAGCGATTGATTTTAAACTTCTAAACAGAAAATTTAATTTAAAACTTTTTCTAGCGCTTCATTTGCTCAAAAAAATCAAAGTTTCTTTTTGGTTTTTCATTAGTGAAGCCAACTGCTCACAATTATGACTAATTAGTCAACTTAGTACGCGTTTTTGTAATTCTTTTATCTCACCATGGACAATTAAAATGGACACTAAAATGAAGAAAAAAAGAAAACAATGGAAAACCTTGCACACCATCCGGCTAGCCTTGTTGTTCCGACCATATGAAAAATGAGGAGGAACTTCGTATTCGGGTGTGTTTTTTTTCCACGCAAAGTCAGCTACTACAAAGAATCATCGAAATGTTTTGAGTGATGTATCATATTAAAGAGCTTTTAGTCGTGATTCGAACGACATAGAAAAATTTTGAAGTTTTTGATGTAAAAGCGGCAGGCTTTTAAAGGCGGATAAATCAACTCTTGAAAGTATCTTAATCTTAGTTTTACTCATGTCAAGTTACTAATCGAAAAATCTTCTACCCTCTTCTTGGGAATCAAAATTTTAAAAACGAGCAAAAAAATTATGCAAAAAATTTTAAATTTTGTAAAAATTTTTTTCTGTGGAAAAATTTTACTAACTGTACTCATTTTACTTTTACTATTGCTGTTCTAGTCTTTTGAATCCAACTGTGATAATAAAAGTTTCACTGATTACACCAAAAACAAAAAAAACGACCCATCTTGAAAAAAAAGAATGAAGCGAGCAAGCAGGCTTATAATACGAAAAAAAGACGTCGTAAAGTTTTAGTTTCAATCCAGGAGTCTTAGTTAGTGAAGCGTGTCTTAGCCCCTTGGCGACAACAAAAAAATCTTATCAAAAGTTCTGCAAAAAATCTCAAAAAATTTTTGAAATTTTTTTTCTTGATGTTTAAAAGTTTTATATTTTTTTATGTGAAAACTTGTTGTCAACTGTCCCTAATTTTTTTTACTATTGAATTTCTAAGCTTTCGTGTAGTTTCACTGATCACGCCAAAAACAAAAAACGACGCAATTTGAAAAAAACTAGCTTTTTAATGACTATGTTCGGAACATTCTGTGCTACTTGTGCAGCAACCGGCTAATCTTGTTTATTTTTGGTCTTATTTAAAATGAATAAAGCGAGCAAGCAGGTTTATAATAAAAAATTAAGACCACAAGTTTATGTTTCAATCCAGGAGTTTTAGTTATTTAGTTATTACAGTGTGTTTTAGCGCCTTCTCGGCAACAAAAGTCCTATAAAAATGAGAAAAAAAAAATTTTTTTCTTTGTTTTTCTTTCAAGTTGTCGATAAAACCGTTCGACACTTTCTATTGAATATTTGTTTTCTAGGCTTTTGTGTAGATCCGCTCCTAGCCGAACGAACAAAAAACATCACATTTTGAAAAAAAAAACATTTTTTTTTGCCAGAACTTTCTGTGCTACCTGCAGAGGCAACCGGCTATTGTTGTTTTGAATTGAGCTCATTTTATGATTATCAAAAAAATAAAGAGCTAAGGCTTGGAGGATCTGTTTTCCAGAAGATGCCATAGGGGGATTTTTTTTAGACTCTTTTTGCCGCTTGTTGCTTGTGTTGCCAAGTGCTGACTCGTCTGCGAAGTTTCTTGGATAAATTCGATAATAATCAAAATTAAATGGCAGTCTAGAATATGTTCACTATTGATTGTCTGAACAAAATAGTATTTTTGTTGAGAAATTAATCGCGAAAAATGCAAAAATAATTATGCTCGTACATTTCAAGAAATTAAAATGAAGAAAGATGAAATTATTTTTTAAAATTCAAGTTAAGTTTTTGATATCGACTAAACTACAGGTGATTTACTTGGTTTCTGGAATGTATGCAAAAGTTAAAATTCATCTAAAAATGATGAAATTCTTGAATTTCTACTAAATAACTTTAACATATTTTTATATTTCGGCTGGTTGTACAAATTTATGAATGTCTGTCATTTCTATGTAAAACCCAAGTTAAGTTATTTTCTTGCCTGCGAGTTATTGACTTTCTATGGCAATGTTTCGGTTTTTGGAGTGTACTTCTCAGCTCAACTACTTTAAATAGAACAGCTCTGTTAAGTAATAAAAAGGGAAAGGCAGCAGAACCGGCTTTGGTATTGAAGATGCCTGTGGAGAAACTAGGAGTGGTTTTTCAGATGAGGATGATTTGTGTGTGACATCAGCACTCTAGACACCAACTACCATAGGAATCTGTGAAAGAACTGATCACTCTAACTAATAGAAAGAGAGTGTGGCTCAGTGCAGTACAGGGTAGTGGAGGATGAAGAAGGTGGGTCGTCAGCTGAGTCAGTCGACCAAGAGGGCCATGGGGATAGGGGAGGACGAGGAGGAGTTCGAAGACCTCAGGGACCACTGGCTCCAAAAACAACTCACTGTCTACTCCAGGCATGTACACACAATTTACAGCTAGTACAAGTTGTGTTGTTGTGGCGCATCCGTTGAGATCGTGCCTAGCAATCGTATTGTTACGGGTTCAAATCGCACATTCGCTGCAGTTTGCAAGGCGAGCGGTTCACCGAAACAACAAGGCTCTATTCCACTCTCTCATCGCTTTTCAAATTTGTTTTTTTTTCATAGTTGTTTCAAGTGTAATTATGGCTAAACGAGTAATGTTACGATGTATGAAGAATAAATCTGTTCACAAATGTTAGTTCTATCAACATGCCAAGTTTGCGCTCTGATAACGTTTAAGTAGATTTTCAAACTCAAATGAAGTAGTAACAAAGAGCCGAATGCAATACTTTAAAGGGCTCATCATGAGCTTTCAACCTTAAATAACTACGTCAGGGCTGGTTGACTAAAAAAGTGTCGTTTTATCTGGGCCGAAGATTTTTTAGCTAAACGTTTTTCTTAATTAATTATAGGGCCTTTTTTAGAGAATTTTAAAAATTTATTGTGGTTGCTGCACCGCAGGTAATTTTTTCGGAAACTAACGGAAGTAACGGAATATTTGTGCTCGGGGTGGGTTTTTTTCTTCAGACAAGTTTCGACTTTTTATCTAGCCATTTTTGACGGAATTTTTTATATCATTCGAAAGGTATTGTTTTCCTGAGCTCAAATTTGAAAAGATATTTTACCTGTGATGCTTTTTGGTAAAGTTATGGGGGATTTAACGATTGCCATTTAGGCCAATTTGGGACAATTAACGCGCGATATATTTCGCGCTATTAATGCGTAAGCGGAGATTTAATCTGTCTTAGAAATCGTTCCAAATTGGTGGAAGAAGCTTATTTGCCATAATTGATTTGATAAAAGAAGCGAAATCTATCAGTTTGTACTTTATATGACGTGTGGGGGATGATTTTCACAAAAAACCTCAGATTTAAAAAAATTCATTTTTTTTTGCATTAATTTTTTTTTCATGCGATTACTGCTCCATAGACCTTAAAAGGCAGTCAGAACTTTCAGGGTTTGCCCTGATATGAGTATTCTTGTTAGAGTTTGTTAAGGTACAGTACATATTACAAAGGGGAAGGGGATTTCGTTACAAATAGAGTTTTGTCCCGCTCAAAGCGAAAGCGGTAAAACAAGTGAAGCGGTCAATCAAGGAGTACAAGTGAAAGCGGCAAAAGCAATCGCGAGTTTTTCAAAGCATTATTAGAAGCAGAAAAGTTTTTTGTTCCGACTTTCGATACGAAAGAAACGGAATATTTGTACTCGGGGTGGGTTTTTTTTTCTACATACAAATTTCGACTTTTTAAGTAGCCATTTTTGACGGAATTTTTTTATATCCTTCGAAAGGTATTGTTGTCCTGAGCTCAAACTTGAAAAGATATTTCACCTGTGATTATTTTTTGTAAAGTCATGGGGGTTTAAAGATTGCCATTTTGGCCAATTTGGGACAATTAACGCGCTATAAACGCGTAAGCGGAGTATTAATCCGTCTAAAAAATTGTTCCAAATTGTTTTAACGAAACCTATTTGCCATCATTGATTGATTACAAGCAGCGAAATCTATCCTTTTGTAGTTTAATTGGTGTCTGGGGTGATGATTTTCATTAAAAAAATTTCAAATTTTAGGGAAAAAAGTTTTCATTTTGTTTTATTACTTTTAATTTTTTAATGTTATTACTGCTCCATAAACCTTAATAGGCAGTCGGAACGTTCAGGGCTTCGCCCTGATACGTGCAGTCTTGTTGATTCCCCTAGAGATTCACCAAAAATAATTGCACGTGAAGTTTTCAGTCTGAACAAGACTGCTCGTATATCAGGGCGAAGCCCTGATTGTTCTGACTGTCGCTTAATTCATATCGAATATTTTTTGGGAAACAAAAATTTTGAAAACCTACATTTTGGACAATATCAAAGTGTAAAGTTTTGGGTAGTACGATATTATTACGAACAAATAGCTAGCCTCAATTCAATTTGGAACGATTTTGTTGAGTTGCATAATTCGCCACGCATTAATAATTCGCGTTACGTTTCAGCATTATGAATAATCTCTTCAAAGCGCGCACAATTTAGTCCAGAGTATGGCCAATTTGGCAGTTTTCAAACTCCAGAATTTTACAAAAAAGAATCGGAGCTAAAATTTCCTTTTAAATTTGAAATCAGTAAGTCTATATATTCAATGGGATATAAAAAATTTTAGCTGAAAGTTGTTTTTTTTTCGATCGGCAAAAATTGACTGAATAAAAAAACCACACCGAGCATAAATATTCTGTTTTCTTTGAAAGTCGGAACAATAACAAAATCCCATGCACAGGGGTGGATCTAGAATTTTCTCGAGGGTGATGGGGGTGGATTTTCAAAAAATTTTCGAAAATTTTGTCGACCATTTTTTGTTTTTAGGTCGACTAAATTGATTTTCTGGGCTCTCTCAAATCACTATGAAGATACCATGTTGACCAAATTTTTTTGCGCCGCAAAAAAGAACAGGCCAAAGGGGTTTTTTTCAGTACTTTTTGGAAAGTTTTGACCAAAAAATCGCGCAAATTTACTATATTTTGGCGCCAAAGGCGCCTTTAGAAAAAAAATAGGCGCCTTTAGAAAAAAAATCTCAAAACAGTACAAAGGGGGACCCTTTGGGTCGGAATGGGGTGGAATCCCTGATAAGGGGGGGGGGGGCGTCCGCCCCTCCCCTCTAAATCCGCCCCTGCCCATGCGAATAAATTCCGTTGCATGCTAAAGCCGCAACAATGTCGATTCTGGGTCGAAAGTCGGAACAATGTCGGTTCTGAGTTTTTTCCAATGGTGAAAAACTTCTATAGCAAAATATGCGCAAGCTGTCAAGATAGCTGTGCATTTAGATAATCGGAAAAGCGATTTTAAAAAGCGATGACTATACTCTGGTTACAAAGCTCAATGTTGGTGTATGTTAAACCGTTGCCCTAGCCTACCACAGGGTGATTATTTGTTACTAGGTACCATAGGAGATCGCTAGAGATGTGGTATTTTTTGAAAATCAAACGTAGACTAATTACGCTTCCGATTGGCAAGCATCATCCAATAATACCATTTAATTCTTTTTCAAGCTAGCGTTTTATTCAATAGAATCGCTGAATCATTGCTGACAGCTCATTGAAGTCGTTTCATAGATGTGATTATAGATGTGTTTTTAATTATAGATGTGATTTCCTGAATTTCACTCGAAATGTACTTAGCAGGTGTCCAGGAGTCCAAGCCTGGCTTTCAAGGATTATTTTAATTCATTTTGAATCAACACGACGCTTCAAATTTTTTGTTGATTGGCTATTTAAAACTTTTTAGGTTAAACAGCGATGTTTTCAACAGTGAGTTAGGACTGGGGTGTATAACTCATAGAGTAATTTCGGATAGGGTACACCGTCTGCTCGTCACGCTATCTTATTTTCGGCCGGATAGATTCGTGCAACTTCTTAGTCTAATACCGATCCTAATCTTACTCTTATACTATCTAGTCTCAGGTTGTTTAACTAGTCTCTGCTAGGCTCAATAGATCTAGGGTATACTGGTTTATTGCGGCTGCTGAAGTGCTCGGGAGAGTCCAACTAATTTCTAAGTTAAATTCAAATCTCTCTGGTGCTGAAATTACAAGTAACTTCAGCACTTACAAATAAGTGGGTTGTTAGTTAGATGGATCATGATTGGTTAATATTAAATACTTTACATTGGTAAAACATTTAATTTATCCAATCATAAAATATAGTTTAGATCAGGTTCCACCCATCCGGGTTTTACAGAGTTTTTTTTTGAACAGTTCTTCTGTAGTTCAAGGATGGATGATGGACGTTGGTATTTGGCGAACATCATTTTTCTTTTGTTTCCTTTTTGTTAAGGAAGTTCCAGGGATCTGGAATTGAGGACACAAGACGTTGTGTTCTTCTTGTGACAACGACTGAGTCTCTGCAACAGCATCAATTCTGGTTTCAGAATGGTTGGCTATGTCAGGTTTTTCTGTTCTTCGGAGGGAACTTCTTTTGTGTTTGATCTAGCTCGGGAATGGCGTGGAGATTGTGCATGGAGGGGATGCCTGGTTACTCGGATCTGTACGTATACTTGAACATCGAGGTGGTCATTGGTCTAGTTCAATGAAGTCCTTTTCTGCGAAGTCAAGTCGTACTCTAAATCCTTTGAGTTGTGATTGTGAGCGGCATATCGATTGTAGTTGGTCATTCTCTCTCGAGTGTAGTGAGGTCGTCTTGTCTTTTGATGTTCGTCCTTGGTGTTGTATTCTGATCTATATATTGCATCATGTGATTTTACATTTTATAAGACTTTTATTAGTTTAATATTTTTTAATAATGATTTTAGTTAGTTGTTTTCACAAAAGCTTTTTGTTTTAGTTTGGTTATTTTGAAGAGTTACTCACCCTTGAGTAGCTCTTATTAAAAATAAAGGTGTGGTCACAAAGCGTGGATGTAGCGCGGTGGGTTAGGCCGGCTATAGAGCATGCTCAGGACGTCCTTTCCTGGTGGGTTAGGCCAGGAGTGGGAGTATGATTTCATGCGGTGTTTGTGAGGGGTCCTGTTATGTGACAACGTTTTATGTTGGGTTTATTGTGGTTTTACTTATGTCTTGTTGGTTATGTACTTTTTCCAAAAAGCAAATTGTTTGTGGTATGGGTTTGTCTTTCGACTTTTTTGTGTTTTATTATTTCTTTCTAAGACTTTGTAATAGTCTTCAAAAGAATAAATTATCCAGTTTTAAACTGGGTTAATCCGGTTTGGGTACCGTTGGTTTCCTTTTCTAAGTCATGCTGTTATTCTATGATTTGTGGTTTTTAGTAAGCTGCGTTGGTTAGTTTTGTTTAGTATATGATTCCTTTCCAACCGGGTTAAAGGAAAGTTTGAAACATGTTATTGTATGTTAGAGTTGTTGAGTGTGAAAACGTGAAACTGAAATTCATTATTTTAAACAATTCTTCGTGGGCGAGCTGTGCGAGTGTGGATAGAATTTCTGTGCGA